CCCTGTTTTGAATTAAACACCTGTGTCCTTTATGCCTTGCTGCTTGGTCCCTGACACTTACAAAAGTTCCATCTATATCAATTGTTCTGCAGTTTTTACACAGGTATACAGCATCATTTATTTGTATATTTAAACGCGATTTTATCTATTTTTTAAACAATGTTAAAGGTGGAAGACTGTTAATCGAGGTGTGTGCAGGATATTGTGCCTAAATTACTATCCAAGCACTGGAAAGCAATGTGTTGGTGTTTGTATTCAGCATCACAGTTTATGAGTGTTGGAGAGTTATTCTCCAAACTCAGAGCACTGGGGATAAAACTGGATAAAAAAGGCGAGCCACTTTATGTAGGTTGATGATAACCTTTGAACAGAAGTGTAACAAATACAAATGAGGATCATAACAAACAATCTGACAATAACAAAGAGTGAGACGGGACTGTTTATACACCGAGGGCTTAATGAGAACCACTGGTCATTGTGCCTAAACTGATTTACATACACGTTTTTTCTTTGTGTCCTTCTGAGCCGCACACAGGTGAAGACGATCACGATAACCACAGAGAAGGAAGTAAAACTGACACTGGACATGAGAGAAAGCCGCCTGTCAAAGTAAGAGAGAAACAAGAATATCACCAGACAAACAGATGAGACACGAGGAATTAAAGTCGTCATTAGAATATCAAATCAGAGATCCAAAGGTTCAAAAACTTTAAACCCTGGCAAAATAAAACCCAAACAGATTACACAAAATGTAAATGCAGAGGATTTTGAAACGGGGGTGAAAATGTGGACTTTTGTGTACACAGAGGATTTCATTGTACAGGGAAAAGTGTTTGTGTGTTGTCCATGTGAAAATAAAAGTTTGAAACTTTGAAACTTTGTGTCTGTTCTGTTACACTTATTTGAGCCAAAAATAAAAAACACACCATTATTAACAGTATCACAATCTGTTTCAGCACATGGTCATGTTTATTATTTATTTATTTCCAAAGCCCTTATATGGCATATTTTGTCCTCTGCATTTAAGCCGTTCACTCAGTGAAGCAGTGGGCAGACATGCATTGGTGCATGCATGCACGTATGCACACACATTCATGTCACATGTGGCTTGGGTATAACTATCCAAGACTCATATACTATTTACAGGTAGGTTACATAGCGACTGTTGAGTTCACGTGCTTGTTTTCTAAATCCCCCTTTTTCATTAATGTACTTTCCAATATCTGAAAGACTCTGTCTTTGCCTTATGTGTCAGGATATGCTAAATACAGATATCGTATAACTGCAACTGGGCAGTTACATATGAGATCATAGAAGATCCTTGTTTTTGTTGATGAGAACCTCTGGGCAGAACGAGACAAAGAGCCTTGTTCACAGTGGGCATCTTACATTAAACTGATTTACATGCACACATTTCCCCTCCTGTGTCTTTATGAGTTCTACACTGCGCCTGGGTTCATCTTCATATGTTACAGGAACCACAAACAGGTGCAGGCAGCTAGAAGGACAGGAGAAAAGATCAACGTGATTTTATTTTGACTATTAGATGAAGGTAGAGGTGGCAAAGGAAGCCAGATGTTGTGGCTGCACTGATGTGTGAGTTAAGATTTAAGAGCCAGTCCTGCGGGTTTTAGATGTGTCCGTGATCCATCACAGCTGATTTAAATGGCTAAACGACCTCCTCAACATGTCCTGAAGTTCTCCAGAGGCCTGGTAATGAACTAATCATGTGATTCAGGTGTGTTGACCCAGGGTGAGATCTAAAACCTGCAGGACACCGGCCCTCGAGGCCTGGAGTTGCCCACCCTTGCTATAAATGCTAACTGTCACTGGTGACGGGTTTAAAGGGCTAATCAGCATTTATCTGAGCAGTGTACACTTCAGAATTCATTTGTTTCTATCAGCAATCCCATCATCACTCAACACTAGTGACCTGGTCTTACTGGCAGCTGTAGAACTGGTTCTACAGTCTGATCTCAGGCCTTGCTGTTCTTGACTGTGGATCACAAACCTTCTGTACTTCATGAAGGTGTCTTTTTTCCTACACGGTCTTTCGGGTGTTTTGGTGTTCCTGAGATAGCCAGTGCATTCATTCTTCATAAGGATGCACCAGATTGTTGGTTTTGTCATCTCTCTTACTTAGAGCCGCAGTGAACAGCTAGGTCCAACTCCAGATTTTTTTATCTTCTCATGAAACGACTCGTCAGTCAATAGCTCCATTACCTTTCAGCCCCTGAAAATAAAATAGGGGAGACCGGGGTTAGTTGTAACACTTCCAATTTCTCCAATCAGGGCTAAGTTTCAAATGATGTGACTCATCCTGTGCATGCCCAATTCATTTCTGCTATCACATGTGAAAAATCAGCACATTTCGTCAAACACAGACAATTTAACACGGAAAAAAGTAATTTGTATGCCAAAAAGTAAGTTTTTCTACTTTATTTCCATTTCTAATAGCATTATCTGCTTTGCAGTTAAACTAATCAAACCTAAATTATGTTATTTGTATGTCTATGGGGATATATTCTGTGTAGGTCTTTAGTGCTAATGTTCTAGCCGTTGGCTGTAATGTTAGCTAGTTCATGGCTATAGGAGTCTGGGTCAGTTGTAACAATAATGCAGATGTTACAACTTACCACACTATTACTTTAACTTATATTAAACAAGTTGGGGCAACGACATCAGCAGAGAGAGGTTCACTGGTCGCTTTTGTATATGCGGTTAATGCCATTGGCAACACAATTCCTCCACTGTTTGTGTTCCCACACATACATGATGCAGACCACTGTGTCAGAGATGGACCAGTAGGAAGTACTGGTAGTGGAAATAAATCAGGATGGGTGCAAGAAACAGATTTCCTCATCTTTCTGAAGCACTTTGCAAACCACACCAAGGAAAGCCATGATAAAAAGTAATGGAATTGCGATGCTGGTGAACAACTACATTTTTTCAGTTTCTTTGTTATGTTCAAAATTGGTGGAGCAGTTGTAGGTTATAATGCCCACTGAGCCAATGAGGCCAAACTCAAGGAAGACCAACCAAAATTAATGAAATATTCAGCTGCAGAAAATTCCATAATTTGTCTTTTTTGGGGGGTTGGAATATGTTCAAAAGCTAGATTTCTGCATTCTGTCACACACACACACACACACACACACAGCTACATAAATGGCTCTAAGTGCATTCATGTGTTGAATAAACAAAGATTACATGTTAATGTTTTGTCAGTACCCTTATTTCATTGTGTTACATTTCACCCCAGGATATGTTACAACTAACCCAGACTATGGGGTTAATTGTAACATTTCACTCTTTGTGTGTGAGACCATACTATGCAATGGGTAATTGTGCTGCAGAGAAAATAGCTGCACTATTTAATAGCCGAGACATGTAAATACTTTGCATTACATTTTGAATCCACTACCTTAAAAGAGCTCCAATTTACAGACAGAAATGTCAAAAATGTTACAACTATCCCCGGTCTCCCCTACTGTATAAAAATGACAGTGGTTCTGAAACAGTTTAGGCAATACTTTTGTTAAACTCACTGAATTAAAGTTTAATGCCTGCATTTTAGTCACATATTTACTGTTTAAAATCCACTGTAATGACACACAGAGACAAATTGTATCTAAACATATGGACCTAACTGTGTGGGACATTCTTGGGGGATTAAAATACAGTGTACAATTCACAGTTTATGTTCAGTCTATTTATTGTTCGGTGTAATCTTTTTGTGTTGCACTCATCTCACATTTTTGCATTTGCTCCATAATCCTGGAAAATTGCTTTTCATTCTACTGCATATCTATAAAAATCTCTCTCTCACCCCCTGAAGGGTGTGTGTGTTTTTCAAGTTTGGGGACACTACCAGATGCCTGGGAGTTTTCTGGGAGTGTTCTGCACATTATCTTAGCTGTTCCTAGGATTGAATTCTTCCGGAGAGAGACCTCAGATATTGTGCTTGGAATCTGCTGGATCCACTCTTCCACTTTGTGATCTGAAATCCAGATCATGAGCCAAGGTGAAATGATAAACCTCTATATTGGTCGACTTTCTACTTGTGACTGTGATAAAAATCCGCGATCAGAGCAGTGATGCAGCTGAGATCAGGAAAAGAGTACTGCAACCACTCAGGCTCTAATAACAAAATGCAAAGTGCTTTTAAAGACATCCGATTATGAAGAGATACCAAGGCTACAGCAGCAGAATCAGCAGCAACACTGGAGCTGAGAGGAATGCAGTGTCTCAAAGACACATCAGGGGATAAATCCTCTGGTTCAGCTGCGTTTTATTATTATTATTATTATTCACCATCTCAATTTCTGTGAGCAACTAAAACCTGCTCTGGAAACTGAGCCGCCTACATAACGACACAAATGTGTGTTTTCTCTAAAGCATAGGTGTCAAACTCTGGCCCACGGACCAAATTTGGCCCACAGCCTAATTGCATTTGGCCTGCGAAGCCATACCAAATTACTATTAGAGCTGGCCTACTGGTATTATACAGCTAATATATATATTGTTTAGTATTAAGCTTTGCTTGTTCCATATTCAGTTTTTCAACAAAACTTCTTTGAGTCCATAAGAAAATATTCATTCTTATATCTAGAGGAAGATTTTTTTTTCAATAAATATTAACGTTAGCCCGCGACTTTGTTCCAGTTTTGAATTTTGGCCCACTGTGTATTTGAGTTTGACACCCCTGCTCTAAAGGTTTATGCCTGTCATGTGACTGCAGTTCTGGGATATCCCACTAGGTGGAGGTGTTGCGTCATTTTACCAAAACAAAAACAAAGAAAAAACGCCTGAACTAGAAAAAAACGTCGTGACGTGTGCAGTCGTAAAACAACGTCATGTCTGTACAAGCAGCTTATGGCTTAGCCTAAAAGCTAACATCTTATTTTTGTTTTTTTTGTTTTTTGTTTTTGTTTCGTTTGGCGGGTCGGCTTTTGTTCTAGATGGAGACCCAGAGCCTACCATGAAACTCCGGCTACAGAATGACAGGTGAGCTGAAGCTTAAACGGGGCCTAAGAAAAAACATGCTAGCTGCTAATGCTAACGGCTAGCTTTGTGTAGGAAACGCTCAGTTTTACCTGTTAGCTGCTTTGGACCTTTTTTAGTACTATTACTTGAAAATGTCTGGGGGGTTTTACCTGACGGTAGTTACGTTGGTATAATGAAATGAGTTATGTGGAAATAATGTCAGAGTAATTCACTTTTGTGAACTTTAGCCAACCTAAAAAAGCAGATCTCCAGTCGCATTCGTGCCCCAAAGTAGCACAATACTGTCAGAGAGGAGTCTCGGCTGTTTTAGCATAAACAGTGCTAAACCCTTCATTACTTCTTAACACTTTATTA